CAAGGGGCTATTGCACAAAGGTCTGGACAAGGAGGATCAGGAGGAAGACTGCAAGGGGCTATTGCATCAGGAAGAAGGCCTGGTGGCATAATGGCTTATGTGTTGGGCTGCTAACCACAAGGTCAGCTGTTTAAATTCACTAGCCGCTCTGTAGAAGAAAGATGAGGCTTTCTGTTCCCATAAATGTTTACAGCCTCAGAAACTCTCTGCAGGGTTGTTCTGAGTAGGAACCGCGTCAATGGGACGCAGCAACAGCAACAGTAACAGTACACAGGACTTGGGAGCAGTGCTAAGGAGGCAACAGGCACCAAGCACTCAGGAGAGAGGTTTGGAAGGCGAGGAAGTGGCCAGCCAGCTGGAGGGGGCAATAAGGTAAAGCATGGCTTTAAAGTCAAACTGGGAAACACTCATGAGTTTGACAACAAAGAAGAAGTCACGGAAGAAAAGATGAGGTGGTAATAATAGAAAAGTAAGCCTAAACAGTCGGACAGATGTCTTCCTATCGAATTCATATCCACAGTTACCTGGGCTTTCTGCAATGGTGCCATCCGGCAGCAGAGCACAGCAGTGCACTTCATACAGATTTGTAGGAAAATGGTTTTGTAATTGTTTGAACCAGAGTCTTGACTAGAATTCAATATGAGTGACAATGTGGAGCCATCAATGATTAATCCATATTCCTGGTGCTCCGTCCATGCTCTAAAAAGGGAAACCAAACAAATAAATAAATACTGTGTTTAAATCTGTGACACATTTCTATTTAGAATCCCAATTTCTTTTTTAAAACCACAACAGAAAGGGTCCCAGATAAGGGAAGTGGACAATCTGGTTCATTGATCTCCAAATTCTACAGAAGCAATAGCCTCAAGTAATGATACAATTGAGACGTTCCATTATATCTCTGAAACTCAAGCGGCCCATATAGATGAGTATGAGTTCTCAGTGGCATACAAATAAAGGCGGCTGCGCAGCCTGCCTTTAAGCAAGAAACTCAAAGATCATTTTGGAAATTATAGATCAGTCAATGAAATTCTGATGTGAAGACAAGTCATCAATCAGAAAACTTGTCAAACATCAGAAAGACACAATATGGCTTTGGGGTACATCCTAAGAACCTGGCCTGAGTGACAAAACTTATTAATAGGGCATGGCTTCTTAAATGTGATGGAGTGCCTGACAGACCTGATGCCGTCCATCCAACACTGGTCTATGTTCCGGTAAACATGACCAGTTCCTACTAAACGAGCTTACCCCAGGCAGCTTTACAAAATTGGCCCTGGTCGGGGTCCATCCCCATACCACTTAAATCAGTCTTTGCTGCAGGGTTTGGGTATAGGTAAGTTTTAAACATTTCCTTTTTTTTTTTCTTTTTTCTTTTTAAGTGTGGTCGAGTCGATTCTCACCCATAGCGACCCTGTATAGGGTTTCCGAGGAGAAGCTGGTGAGCTTGAACCGCCGACCTTGCAGTTCAAATGGCTTTGTAGTCTGGCACATTAACCCAGAATGCCACACCAGGATTCCTAGGTGATTCTAAAAGGAGCTTTGGTGGCACAGTGTTTAAGAGCTCTGCTGCTAAATACAAACTCAGCAGTTTGAACCTATTAGTCACTCCATGGAAGAAAGATGAGACAGTCTGCTTCCATAAAGATCACGGCCTTGGGAAGCCCTATGGGGCTAGAGTTCTACTCTGTCTTACAGGGTTGCTGCAAATTGGAATTAACTCAACAGCAGCAGGTTTCAGTGATTCTAATGCATAGTGGCTATGTGTTGCGCTGCTAACCACAAAGTCAGCAGTTCAAATCCACCTGCAGCTATGCTGAAAAAAAGATGAGGCTTTTTGCTCCCATAAAGATGTACAACCTCAGAAACCCTATACAGTGTTGCTATGCATTGGAACCGACTTAACAGCACACAACCACCAACCACTAATGCATAGTTAGGACTAGGAGACGTTGTTTTTAAGTGCTGTTGAGTCAGTTCCAACTCATAATGACCCTGGATAGTATTTCCAAGGAGCAGTTGATGGGTTTGAACCACAGATCTGCCAGTTAGCAATCCAGGGCTTATCCTATAGCACCATTGTTGTTGTTGTTGTTAAGTGCCATCGAGTCGGGTCCGACCCATAGCGACCCTGTACAGGGTTTCCGAGGGTGTAAATCTTTACGGGAGTAGAAAGCCTCATCTTTCTCCCGCGGAGCAGCTGGTAGTTTCGAACCGCTGACCGTAAGGTTCGCAGCCCGATTCGTAACCACTACGCTACCAGAGCTCCATAGATGCCAGAAAAGACAAATTTTGCAGGTGCCAAAGACTTTTAAAAAAATACACCGGAGGAAACTTTCAGCTCAGAAATTCCACCAATTATCTTTTTTTTTTTTTTTTGGTAATTAGGGAAAAGCCCAAAGCAACCATTCAATTTTTCCTCAAGGATTTATGTGTGTCACTTGAGAACCATTGCAGTGGCAGCACTAGACATAGCAGGGTCTCAGTTAGGGATCCACTAGCTGAATTCCATGCTTCTCAACCTTTAACATGCAAAGGAATCACCTGCTGGGACAGCAGATTCAGTCTATCAACAGCAAGCTGCCCTTTGGAAAAGGCTGTTGTTCCAAGGGTCTCCTTAGGACAAGCAAGGGCCTAATACACTGCATTGTTCCTGTGGTTCAGATTTCTCGAGTGTATACTATTGACACCATAATATTTTCTATTTATCAATACCTTACTCCAACATGTTGTGAACATCTACATTCATTAATCAAAGAGAGATCAATCTTGTGTTCTCTTTCTTTGCTCCCCTTCTCACAGAATGATTGGACTGTGGAGAAAAGTGGCTCAATAATTAATCCTGGTGTGGTGCTGTAAGATAAGCATTAGACTGCTGACCACAAGGTTGGCACTTCAAATCCACCAGGCTGCTCCATGGAAACCTTACACAGGGTCGCTATGAGTCGGAACTGACTGAACAGCACTGGACGGCTAACCAGGAAGTCAACAGTTTAAACTCATGAGCCGCTCCTGGGAAATGCTACATAGTGTTGATGTGAGTTGGAACCTACTAAATGGCACCTAACAACAACAACAACAATATACAGAGGACTGCAAAGAATGCCTCAATTTTCTTTGGCGCGTACACAATTTCCTGGTAGTGATCATACCCCATGGAACATGATGTCCTTGCTGTTGTTAAGTGCCGTTGAGTCTGTTCTGACCCATAGCAACCCTGTATAGGGTTTCCGAGGAGCAGCTGATGAGCTTGAACCACCAACCTTGCAGTTCAAACGATCTGCAGTGTGGCACGTTAACCCACAGTGCCACACCAGGACTCCATAATACTTGATGGTTAAAGGCCAGTGACTGAGACAGTAAGACATACAAGAGAGACAATGGTTAGTCAGGAAAAGCCTGGTGGAGGAGTAAGAGTAGAAACAAGACTCAAAAGTCAGGGCAAAACGGACAAGCAGAGACAATGTACACTGTGGTACAATGGGAAGTCAGGCTGAGAAGGTAGTTGAAGGCCTTTGATTCCCCCTCCCGACTCTATAAATGTGGGAGAAGCACTATGATAGTGGTGAGGAACTTTTGCTCTGCCAATATTTATAATGTCATCCATAGGCCACGCACAATTATGAACTTAAAAATTAGCCTGCTATATTTTGTTCCAATAATTAATTAACTCACCCCTAATGTGAATGGCTGGAACTGAGGTTGCCTTGGCAGGAGCCAGACCAAATGATTTCAGGAGGCCTCATACAGCTCTGGAAGTTGTCAAAAATGAAATGGAACGCACAAACACCGATATCTTAGGCATTAGTGAGCTGATACTGGCTATTTTGAATCTGATGACCACATGGTTTACTATGCCGGAAATGACAAATCGAAGAGGAATGGTGTTGCATTCAATGTCAAAAAGAACATATTCAGATCAGTCATGAGGTACAATGCTGTCTGTGATAAGATAATATCCATGCGCCTACAGGGAAGCCCAATTAATAACACTATTATTCAAATCTATGTACCAATCACTAAAGCCAGTGAGATGAAATTGAAGAATTCTACCAACTTCTTCAATCTGAAGTTGATCAAACATACAATCAAGATGGATTGATCATTACTGGTGATTGGAATGCAAAGGTTGGGAACAAACAGGAAGGAAAATATAGCCTTGGTGATAGAAATGACGCTGGAGAATGCATGACAGAATTCTGCAAAACCAGTGATTTGTTCATTTCAAATACCTTCTTTAGATAGCATAAGAGATGACTATACACATGGACCTCACCAGATGGAATACATAGAAATCAAACTGAACTCCATCTGGGGAAAGAGATGATGGAAAAGTTCCATATCAAAAGTCAAAACAAGGTCTGGGGCAAACTGTGGAAAAGACCATCAATTGCAATATTCAAATGCAAACTGAAGCTAAAGAAAATGAAAACAAGTCAATGAGAGCCAAAATATGACCTTGAATATATCCC